ATTATTGTCAAATCACTGAGGTATACAAGGAATAAAACACTTCACAATGTGCTGTTATAGGAAAAGAATCCAATTTAGAGTTGTAAAAGTAACTCCGCTTCACATGTAGATGCATTGCACCAACCATTGATTATTTTCCTATAACGGGACGTCCTGGAGTGTTTTATTCCTTGCATATCCAACTCGTCAGCTTAATATCATGGCCTAAATGGAGTGAATAAGGTGTGTTAGAAGAGCGAAAGTACAAATCTCATTAGAGCCGTGTGTGACGCGTGTGAATACTGAGACACTAATGTCATGTCTTCTGTGTTGCTACAGGTTTTGCGGTTGCACTGTTTAAATGACATCTCACTCATTAAATTTAGCTGAAGCTCAGTCATGGTTTAATGTTTTATATCACATAGTGTTCAGGAGGTATATGCTTTGGGTTTAGCTGTGATACTGTACCATAGCACTAAGACTGTTTAACCCAGAGACCTCAGCGTCCCTTAACCCCCTGTTCAGCTAATCCTTTCCAGCCCTTCCAGGTATTTGCAAAAAAATCCTCCAAACAGAACTATTCTGAGAGCAGTAAGCACTTGAAGCTTTGTCTGGCTTCCTCAGCTGCCCAAAACACTAGGCTCTTGCTCTCCGTCTGTGGCCAGATTGATTACTTCATATTGAATTGGCTCTTGTTGATCCTTAAAGCTAAAGAAAGGTAAAGAGCATGTGCTATCACTTTATAAGATATAGAACTTGGGCTCCTGAGTGGGGAAGATGTCTATTATGAGATCTTGTTTTCTCTTTGATTTAAAATTTTTAAAAATAGATAAAGTGCAATATTCTATACCTAAATTGGCTGAATAATTGTAGCAAATAATTCTTATTTTGCTATCAAGCAAAATAATTGTGATTATAATTTTTACCATTATCTAACCATTATAACTATTGTCCCTAATTTCTCAAAGCTGGAACTCAGAAGGAGTATCTGAAATCTGAAAGTATAAATCATTTTTGAACTTTTAGTTCATGAAACTTTGCAACTCCTGAAGAGTTGGAATTTTTTTAATCTCTGGCCGGAGTTCATGAAAGTATAATTGCTCTGCTGTCTGGGTGATTAGCTTAGCCAATCACAAGCATCTGCGAGCAGTGTTTAAATTAAGGCAGTTAGCTCTCTCTCCTCCAGGCACAGCTGCCCCATGCGACACTGTGTGAGTGATAGGGATGCTCTCAAGAACCCAGTTCTGTGCGGAAACCCGTTTTAAATTAGTAAAACCGAGGTCAGATATGAATGCTGTTTGAGGTTTTTGGAATTTATGGATAGGCTATACAGGCTAATGGCGCATCTCTTTCTCTCTCTTGCCTGCACACAATGAATAGCAAGAGAACAAAGAGATTGCAAGTGGAGAACACTGGTTGTAAATAGCACAATAAAACCTTTGTTGTCACGTGTTTTGCTAAGTTGCTCATATCACCTCCCTTCTAAGCAAAGAACTATGTAAGTCTTCTGAAATGTGGAGTGTTTGAATGCTGTGCTTCTCTCACAGCTTCATCTACTTCATGTGCATTAACAGAACCTTATACAGAGTCTTCAAGGCCAATAATATTATTATACATTTGCCAATAAATAAAAGCTAACCACTTCGTTTTGCTATACATAATTTAAAGATCTGGCAACTTTATAAAAGAACTGATAAGCAGCACCAGTAACCGCAAGTTTTAGGCATGTCATGATAATGAAAGTTTAAATGATTTTTCTGTTGACCTTATGCCACTTTAAGAACAGAAGTCTAACAGTAGCGTTATAATGCACACAGAGCAATTTATTAACAGTACATAAAATACAGTAAATAAAATTTGTGTTCGCCTTTTTGTCCAAAAATGCAAAGGGAAGAAAACAGCACAAATCATGACACAGATATACAAGATATTAATGAATATAATTTTATTACTGAAATACACAAATAGGTTACTGGTTAATAAGCGATGTACAGCAAAAAGTATGTAAATAAATAATGCACTATTCTATACTAATGTACTAAATCTCGTCATTTCCAAGACGTTCTAGTGAGAGTGGCCAAATTTCAGCTAAATTACTGAATTCCCAAAAAAAGAGAATAATTAAATAAGTAGTTCATAGATTAAAGAATAATTATAGAAATATATCCATAAACAAACTCAGAACAGCCTGTTTACAGATTACCGATATGTATAGGAAATCATCTGATCTGATTGTTGAATATAATTAATTATGTAGGAAGATAATTGTAACAGGCCTAAATATTAGTGACCTATCATCATTAAGTAACAGTTTGCAGACATGCAGTGGAGCAGCGAAGCAAAATGCAGAGAAACTGTCACAAGCGAGAGAGACCATTTCAGTTCTGCGAGCACTGAGCACTAAAACATGCACTCTTCCTTTCACCAGCGATTACACAGTGCTTGTGACTCAAAGTGCCTTTCACGGCACCTTGCACTCATTTTTAATGACTGATACCGCTCTGCACACTCAGGTCGGCTGCCCTCGCGCACTATTAAAGATTGAAGACATTAAAGATTAAAGACAAAAAAAAAACATAAAAGTCAGTATGAGGAGTTCATTGCTAGCAACACACTGCAGCAACCAGCATAAATAGAGCTAAATAAAATGTTCCATGATGCCCCTGATTGCCTATTACTGAAGTAGGTTACTCATTTCAGTATCAGTATTGGAATTGGTATCAGCAATTATCAAAAAACATGTACACGTACTCATCCCTGGTCTGAAAATACTGGTTTTATTGCATCCGTAGTAAAAATATTTCTTAAAGATGCTCACTGAATCTGATAACTCATGTCACAACCCTCACATTCCCCCTTTCACATTGGGATTGGTAAATATTACATGATAGAGACAGACTTGGACAATGATATCAAAAAGATGATAAGACCAGGAGGTCATACCTTTATCATCTGTCTCACATTGTTATTCTTACAGACTGTTCAGTTCTCTTGCTCTTTTAGGGGTTGAGTTTTTTTTTATTGAAGTGTGAATGTTTTTTTATAAGGTCAGTAAACAGGATTGCCTTTCTGCAGGTTTCACTCGGACTCCTCCACGGCAGAGCATCTCACATCATATGGCCTCCAAACCGGTGGCAGAGGATCAGACCGTGTGTTCCGCCTGACCGCAGACCTCTGCTCAACTGGGGAGGATCTACAGAGGACGACGTTGATGATGACGACAATAAAAAATGACCTTTTGGGCAGTTACACAATAACACTGACTCTTGTGTGCAGGACAGACTGTCTGATTGTGATGGCTGAAAATGTTTGAGTTGCAGATGTAT